AAATGCCAAAAAATTCAAAAGAATTATCTTTAAAAAGCTCAATGAAGGGCTGGGGTTGTGACTCAGTGGCAGAGTGCTTGCCTTGCACCTGTGAGGCACTGGGTTCAATCCTCAACACCACATAAAAATAAACAAAATAAAGATATTGTGTCCATGTATAAGTAAGAAAAAAATTTTTAAAAAGCTCATTTTGGCTGGGGTTGTGGCTCAGGGGTAGAGCACTCTGCCTAGCCCGTGTAAGGCCCTGGGGTCGATCCTCAGCACCACATAAAAATAAATAAATAAAATAAAGGTTAAAAAAAAGCTCAATGAAATCCAAGAGAATACTAATAAACAGGTGAATAAATTAAGAAAGACAATTAAGATTATGGATGAGCATTTCAGTAATAGAGGTTTTCAAAATGAACCAAATCAAAATTATAGAAATGAAAAGCTCAATAAGTCAGATTAAACAAAAGACTCAGTTGAAAGCCTCAACAACATATTAGATCAATCAGAAGAATATCAGAGCTTGAAAACAACTCTGCCACAACAGTACATTTTTAAAAAAGTAAAAAATATTTTAAATAATAAAACACACAAGATCTCCTGCCATTAAAAGATCAAATTAGCCAGGCACAGTGCTGTATACTTGTAATCCCACCAACTTGGGAAGCTGAGGCCAGAGGATCACAAGTTCAGCAATTTAGTGAGACCCTGTCTCAAAATAAAAAATAAAAAGGCCTGGGGAAAAAGGGCTGGGATGTGGCTAAGTGATTAAATGTCCCTAGGTTCAATCCCAGTACAAAAAATAAATAAATAAATAACACTTAGGGGCTAGGGTTGTGGCTCAGTAAGAGAGCGCTTGGCTAGCATGCATGAGGCACTGGGTTCAACTCTCAGCACCACATAAATATAAAATAAAGATATTGTGTCCACCTAAAACAAAATATAAATATTTTTTAAAAAATACAGTCCGAAAATTAATCTAAAAAAAACACCCTAAGCTATGGGTGTATTGGTCATCAAGCATGTGTTTAGCATGAATTAGGCTAAGTTCACTCCCCTCCATCAAACAAAAGCACAACAAAAACAATAACCTAATTAAAAAAACACACAAAGGATATGAATAGGCATTTTTCCAGAGATAAACAAATGGTCAAAAAGCAAACTGAAAAATACCCAATATCTTTAGTCATAAAGGAAATAAAAATCAAAACCAAGATGTGATGCCATCTCACATGCACTAGGATAGTTACAAGCAAAATCAGATAAAAAGTTTTAGTGAGAACATGGAAAAATTGGAACTATCATATGTTTCTGGTGGAAATATAAAGTGTGTAACCACTTTGAAAAACCAGTCTGGCAGTCCCTTCAACAATTCAACAGTTATTAAATGATTTGGCAATTCTACGGAAGTATGGAATATGAATATCTCAAGGAATTAAAAACTTATGTTTGTACAAAAACTAATACATTTATGTTTATATAGCAGCATTAGTCATAATAGCCAAAACATGAAAACAACCCAAATGTCTATCAATTGATGAATGAATAAAGAAAATATTGTATATCAATACCATGGACCATTATTTGACCATGAGAAGGAATGAAGTACTTATATAGGCCATAATATGAATAAATGTAGAAAACATAATGCTAAGTAAAAGAAGCCAATCAAAAAAGACCAATTATATAATTCCATTCATATGAACTATCCAGAATAGACATTATATATATACACAAATGAACATAGATTAGTGGTGGCTTAGGGGTAAGGAGGATAGGAGGAGGGGTTATAGAAAGGTCACAGCCAAAGGGTATTAGGTTTCTTTTTGAGTTAATAAAAATGCAAAAATTGTGTCAATGGTGATATGTAAAACTGAATACACTAAAATTCATTAAATGGCACATTTAAATAAGTGAAATATATGGCATATGAATTATAACTCAATAAAGATGTTACAAAAAATAAATGAAGAAATGTACAACCAGTATTGGGATCAACAGTCAAGAAGTCTTTGAACTCAGCTTTAAGATACTGAGGAGAAACTATATGATATCTCAGTTTACATATTAATGAAATAAACCCAAAATTCTATCATTCAAAATTTACAAAATTTTTAATATTAAATGATGCAGTAGACTGGCAGCTGTATAATAAATCATACAATTTAAATCTTATATGAAATATTCCAATTTAAGAATAATTTTTGTTTAAGGTGTTTCTCTCTAATAAAAGTGCTCTAGTAATTGTCTTTATTAGTCAACATTTATTGTGTCCTTAGTAACTGCCAGAGTCCTTTTAACCCTTAAATAAGTACCTGACACACAGAAGGCAATAAATGAAAGGCCCTGAAGGCTGTCATTTATCCATATTGGCACTCAGTTTCCTCATTTGCAAAATTAGAAGGGCTGGATATAACACTCTATAGCAGCACTGTCTGAGAGAACTTTCCATGATGCAAAAATCAACTCTAAGTGCATCAGTGACCTAGGAATTAGACTAGAAACCCTGCACATACTAGAAGAAAATAAAGGCCCAACACTTCAATATATTGGCTCAGGAACTGACTTCCTTAACAAGATTCCTAAAGTGCAAGAAGTAAAATAAAAACTCAATAAATGGGATGGCATCAAACTAAAAAGCTTCTTCACAGCAAAGCAAACAATCAAGAACCTGAAGAGAAAGCATACAGAATGGGAGAAAATCTTGGCCACCCGAATCTCAGATAGACCATAAATATCCAGAATGTATAAAGAACTCAAAAACTTAACACCAGAAAAGAAAAAAAAAAAACACTTAATAAATGGGCAAAGGAACTGAACAGACACTTCTCAGGAGAAAAAAAACGGATGGTCAACAAATATATGAAAAAATGCTCAACATCTCTAGCAATTACAGAAACACAAATTAAAACTACACTGAGATTTCATCTCATTCCAGTCAGAATGGCAATTATCAAGAACACAAGAAAAAAATAAATGTTGGCAAGGATGTGGGGAAAAGGGTAAGCACATAAATTGTTGGTGGGACTGCAAATTGGTGCAACCACTCTGAAAAGCAGTATGGAGATTCCTCACAAAACTAGGAATGGAACCACCCTTTGATTCAGTTATCTCACTCCTCAGTATATATCCAAAGAATTTAAAATTAGCATACTACAGGGATGCAGCTACATCAATGTTTATAGCAGCACAATTTGCAACAGCTAAGCTATGGAGCCAACCTAGGTGCCCTTCGATAGACGAATGGATAAAGAAATTCTGGTATATATACACAACGGAATATTACTCAACCATAAATAATGACTTTATGACATTTACCAGTAATTGGATGGATCGGGAGACTATCATGCTAAGTAAAATAAGCTAATCCCAAAAAACCAAAGGTGAAATGATGTCACTGATATGTAGAAACTAAACCACAATAAGGGAGAAGAGGAGAAGAGAAGTTCAATAGATTAGACAAAAGGGAATGAAGGGAAGGGAGGGCGAATAGGAATAGGGAAGACAATAGAATGAATCTAACTTAAATTTCCTATGTACATATATAAAAAAATACCTAAGTGAATCCCATCATATACACTCATAAGAAAAAGATATATTCCATGCTTGTATAATTATACCATAATGGATTCTACCATCATGTATAATTTTAAAGAACCAATAAAAAATTTTTTTAAAGAATATTCTGAGATGATGGAAGAAATGTTCATTACCTGTGTCATCTGATACAATAGCTACTAGGCATATGTGACTACTGAGCCTTTGAAATGTGGCTAATGCAACTGAGTAGTTAAAATGGATAACCACATCAAGCTAGTGGTTACCTTACTACACAGCACAGCTGTTTAAAAAGCACTAGTTTCTTTTCTACAAAATTTCATCTAAAAGTGCCGATCTAACCCACTGACATGATTTCACAACACTACACTAAAATTTCCTTCCAGATCTGAAATATTATGCAATATACTAATGACAAATGTTTGAGGTGATGGATATACCATTTCCATAATCTGATCATTACACATTGCGTACATGTGTTGCAATATCACCCTATTCCTTATAAATATATACAATTGTGTGACAACTAAATATTATTTTTAATTTTGGAAGTTGGGGACATGAAATATTCATTGACAATCAAAAATCGTTTCTCAAACAAAGCTGACAATACTTTAAAATGATACCGATGAACAAGAGGTGAAAATGAAATTTTTTTGTCAATATATGGGAAATAAAGACAATACTCAAGTACAGATAACATTTTTAAAAACTGTCCTGAGAGATTATAATGCACACAAAAGTTAAAAGGCACTATAATCACTGTTTACATTCATAAATTAAGGAAAAACAGTCTTATGGCCTCCAAAGTGACTTGTGGTCACAGAATACTTCTGAATATTCAAAGGACCATCCTGTTTATATATGAATTTAGGGCGGTCTATGTTTTGGAAAGATAATTATGATTTTCACCTATCAAGGAGCACGCCTATCAGCAAGGGAATTAATTGATGCCAATTCAATTTTCCACTTGTTTATAGGTGGCTTCCTGTCATTTTACAGTGCCCTCCAAAATGCTACTTCTGAGTAAAATCCAAACTATAGGCAATTTTGAACCAAATTCCATTACTAACTTTAGAAAAAGTACAGTCTTCTACTCATTTAGAAATGTAAGCAGGCTGGGAATGGTGCCTAGTTTTTTTACTATCAGAAAAAAACTACAAATTCTATGAGACTCCAGCACTTCAGGTGCCCTCAGCCCGGAACCTCTGGCTTGATCCCTCTTTACTTTCCCTAAAGGTTTTTTTTTTTTTTTTTTTACCCCTTTTTAAAATTACTCAGCTTAATTTCCTTCACTTACTGCTGCTTCAAGTTAGCCCTGAAAATGTTTTGTTTTTTTGGTTTTGTTTTTTTTTTCCTAAGTGCTCTCTCTCACCTGAAGTCATGAGAGCAACCTTTTTCCTATTAGGTCCCCTTGCCCTTCACCCTACTATTCCCAGTGAACGGCATCTCACCTGGTAGATTCGAGCGTTTCCTGAGGCGCCGCGATGATGTGACAGCCACCGCGGATCTGAGCGACGAACATAGCCTAGAGACCGGATCAGAATCGCGGAATACCGGCGCTTTTCGAAAGCAGCCGCCGCGGCTGCCCAACGCCAAGAATGTATCGCGAGCAGCGCCATCTTGAGCGAGGAAAGAGGAACCGAGAGAAGAGGATTGTGGGACACTGGCGGACTGAGCGCGGCTTTCTTAATCTTCCCGCCCCTCCCCCTCGTTTTCCCAGCCCGACACCGGAAATAGCTTCTCTTTAAGACTCCAGTACTTCTGTTTAGCCTCTTTTGGCTCTTGCGCTAGACTTTATTTTTCTTTTCCTAGGGTTGCCAGATAAAATATAGGATGCTCAGTTAAGTTTGAATTTCAGAAAGTAATTAATCACTTTTTGGTATAAATAAATGTGGCCCAAATATTACCTTTGATGGGGCTGGGTTTGTGGCTCAGTGGTAGAGTGCTTGCCTAGCATACTTGAGGCACTGGGTTTGATCCTCAGCACCACATAAAAATAAAATAAAGAGAAGTCAATGAAGGTAAAATAAGGTTTTTTTTAAATTATTACCTTTGGTAAATCCAGCAAACAAATCTTGTCCGTGGTTCCACTCTTACTGCCTCCAACTCAATGCTACACTCCACTCTCCACTTTCACTATGCATATTCTTTCTCCACTTTCCCAGTGCACTAACGCTCCAGGGTAGATTAAACTACAGACATTAATTTCCCCTGGGAGAAGGCTTCATCTGTGAGAGTCACTACCTCTCTTGTAAAAGCTTCTACTTTGTTGATTGTTCTCTTTCATGTAAACCTGGAGGCAGTTTTTTTTTTTTTTTTGTCTGTTGCTTTGGGATGATTACACACACACACACACACACACACACTTTTGCTAATTTGCCTCTCTTTCTAGCACTTCCCTTTGGTTTCTGCAAAATTTCTAATTGAAAATTGCTGGACTGGCTGAAGAATGGGAAATTGAACATGTATGTAAAGAAGTACATATTTAAAAACAGGTTTGTATTCTTTTGTTACCAGTATAATCAAACAAACTAATGTGAAAATATGTTTACAGTTATCTGGGAAACTGAATGTCCAAGTGTAAATGTTATATGGAACCCTAGAGACAATAAGGCAGTTGCAATTTTATATCCATTGCTACATTCTCGAACCTTTCCCACAAGACAAGCAAGTAATAGTAAATTTCTTATATAGATGGTCCTTGAATTACTAATAAGTCTGATGAAGAAAGACCAAGGATATGCATGCCCAGGCAGTTAGCTTTACTTTGTTCCAAGATTCATATTCCACTCCAGGTTTCCAGGAAAGAGAATACTTGAGATGGTTATTTAAAGAAGAATAGAGCTTCAAATTGAAGAGGTTGACAGACACTCCATGTAAAGAAGATGGTATGTTAAAAGCAAGAAGGTATAAGAAAACATTTTTAGACTCATTGGTCCAGAAGTATATGGCAAAGTAGTAGGAAATGAGCCTGGGTGAACAGAAATCTGTTGATTAAGGACCTTCTATTTCATTCTAAGTTAATGCTTTATCCTACAGCCAGCAAAGAGTTGCAATCAGGAGAGTAGAATGATCAGATTTGTATGGCCATTACACTCTGGCTTAAGTAGGAAGGTTGTATTGGAAGGAGTATAGATTAGAATCCTGAAGTTAATGCAATAGTTCAATCATAAAATAAAGGCCAGAACCTGGCAGTAGTAGTGGCAGTAAATCAATTCCAGTGATATTAAGGAGGTAGAATTGACAGGACTTGGTGACTTGTTGGGTGTTTCTAGTTTATAATTGCCTTGTTGACCATACATCAGTAGCAGCCTCATTCATTAATGAATATATCATCAGCAAATATTTATTCAGCATCCTTTCTGTGTTGGACAATACCCACATAGAGAAATTCTAGAACCTACCAATGGTTTCTATTAGGGCTGTATATTGCCACTGAATCTTACTACCCAGGTAAGACATTATCCAGTGATGCTCTAATTTTTCAAAAATAAAAGAACCCATGCAATAAATAACTTGTGATAAATTATAAGGTACAATGTGATAAAATAATTTCTTACATTTTTATACTTTCATAAACACTTTGGCAAGATACAGTGTTACATACCTGTATTCCCAGTGATTTGGGAGGCTCGGGAGGATCACAAGATGCAGTATAGCCTCAGCAATTTAGTTAGACTCTGTCTCAAAATATAAAAGGACTAGGGATGTAGCTCAGTCTAAAGTGCCCCTGGGTTCAATCCACAGTACCAAAAAAAAAAAAAAAAAAAAAAAGATGATGAAGAAGAAGAAGAACATACACATTTAGGATTATTATACTTTCTTGAAGAAATTACCCTATTATGGTTATGAAATGTCCCCCTATATCTCTGAAAATACTTTTTCTTGAAATTTATTTTCTATTAATAACTCTACCTCAGATTTCTTATGTTTATTATCCCCTTTTGCTTTTAACCTATTGGTGTATTGATATTTAAAGTGTGACCTATGTATAGAGCATATAGCTATTGTTTACTTTTTACACATGTTGAACATTTATGCCTATTAATTATAATATCTAGGTCATTCATATTTAAATTACTTATTGATATTTTTGAGGAAAAAAATGCCTGACATGAAGATCGGAGGAAAATTGGGTAAATGATAAATTTGATGATATAGTATTTTGGAAAACAGGTTGAATAGTCCTGCTATCAGGCTCAGAGAGAAGATAGTTGGAATACTTCTGTTTTAATTGTTCATTCTTTCATTTATCATATAGTACACAGAAACAGATTTATTTAATTGTTTATTAATACTTTATTTTGCAAATAAAAATAATATGTATATATGTATACATATGCATATATGTGTGTGTGTGTGTGTGTGTGTATTGTACCATAGACAATCTCTTAGGTATCCTGTATGATTTTAATGTGAAATTCTCTAACAACAAATAATGCTAGGTATTTTTTCATATGCTTATTTGCCATCTGATTATCCTCTTCAGTGAAATACTTGTTTATTTATTTTGTTAATTTTTAATTGCATTATTTGCTGATTGTTTAGTTTCCAGTCTTTGTATACTTTGTAAACAAGTATGTGTATTGCAAATGTTTTTTCACAGTCTATGGATTGCTCCTTTATAAATTATTTGTGGACTAAAAATTTTTTAATGAATTAAATTTTTAAAAGAAGAAGGAGAAAGAAACATGCTTTGCCATGCTGGATCCTAATGGCAGTTTTCTAAATCTTAATAACAGTTTCCTATGGGTGTTATTACCTGTTTCTAGTAGATAAAGAAAACCAAAGCTATGTGTTGATAGACTCCAGATCAGAACCATGGTTCTAGCTGCTAATATACTGCTCTATCCACTAAAAGATGTTGCCTATACTTAAAAACAAGACTTAATGAAAGTCTCCAGAGGGCATATAGAATCATAAGATTTTGAATTCAGAAATGACTTCAGAATTCTGAAATACCTACATCTGACCCAACAGATGATTTCTCAAAATCCTTGAGATTTACTAGAATCACCTACAGGTATTATTGACATGAATAGTAGTTGTGAGGTGTCTGAATGAAGTCAGTCTATTTTTACAAAAGTAGTGCCTCTTGTAAGATGACCCCTCAATAGCTACTCTATGATAATCTAAAGTGGAATAAATATTTATTTACCAAATAAGCCAAAGAAAATTTCTAGTACACATAGAAATATAGCATGAAACATTACAAGAGTTGTACATTACTGGGGAACATCAGCAATAGACTGACCAACTTGGCCTCAGCAACTTGACACATAAGTGCCTGACATAAAGAGACACAATAAAAGCTGCTTTGCAGATCACATAGCACTTTATCTATGTAATAATTATACCTAAAATTTGATAGTATTTTGCAATTTACAAAGTACTTTTTTCATACCTTATTTAATGCTCACCTCAACCCTGTAAAATAGATATTATTGATTAATATGACCATATTTATGAGGAAACAGACTGTTAATTTGTGACTTAACAGATGCCACAGAGATAATAGGACTGGAGTTGTGGCTCAGTGGTAGAGTGCTTCTGGCACATGTGAGGTGCTGGGTTCAATCCTCATAAAAAAAATAAAGTTCATTGACAACTAAACAAACAAATAAACAAAGGATGGATATCAAATCTAGGTTTAACAATTCCAAATTCAGCTATTTTTTCCCTTAATTACACCTAAATTTGGAAGAAGTATGTGTGTACTCTAACAGGTCCACAGTAATTTTCTTTCTAGAAAACACAGGAACTTATTCTCACTTTTGCACTTGCTTAACCCTCTGTCTGGAACATATTTCCTGTAGATGTGCAAATGACTGACTTTTTCTTGCCATTCATGTTTCAACTCAAATGCCATCTGCTTAGAGAATCTTTCTGAGAGCATCTTATCTAAAAAGGCCAGCCCCACCATACCTGCCACTCTCTATCACATTGCTTTGTTTATTTCTCTTTAAATATTACTATTAAAAGTGTGACCCACAGACCACCAGCATTGGCACCACCTAAAAGGCTGTTAGAAATGAAGAATCTCATGCCTCACACTAGATCTAATGATTAAAAATCTGAACTTTAAGAATTCCCCAGGTTATTCATATGCACATTAAAGTTTGAGAACCATTTTTTAGAGCACCTGTCACTTTCTGTAACTAACTTCTTCATTTTTTATGTACCTTTAAAAAATTTTTTAGTTGAACATGGACACAATACCTTTGTTTTACTTATTTATTTATTTTATGTGGTGCTGATGATCGAACCCAGTGTCTCACATGTGCAAAGCAAGCGCTCTACCACTGAGCCACAAACCCCAGCCCCTTTTATGTACTTTTGACATTAAGAAATATTTAATAATAACTGAAAATTAAAAGGAGAGTATAATGGACACCATGTACCCACAACCCAGCTTAGTCATATCTTAATAATTTATCATATTTGCTTTCAAACTCAAACTGAAAAATAATGATTTACATGATGAACTCTTGTTACCCTCTCTAATCCTGGTCTCCTTGTCCTTATGGATTTATTCCTTTGTTACTTTGGTGAAGTCTGGAAAAAGGAGAAGATAAAAATGATTCATTAACCCACCATGATTATATGGATGTCCTACATAG